TGAAAAGTAGCAGTATATGGGATCGTCATCCTGACCTTTGAACAGTTAATCAAAAGAAGTAATTGTTTGCCAAGTGTCTACTCATTCGAGAAGAAGTATTGTGTTACTGTAAAAATTGACATTTTCACGTTTATGCTATTAAAAATGGCGAAGTACTTTTTTTATCTTTTATTCGTTATTCGAAATTTTTTATGTAAATAACGAATTTGCCCATCTCAGATACTATAGTACTATCTTCGATGTCTCTCGAGACACGAAACCTCTCTTTCTCCCCGGAAAAATTAATCAACTTAGGCTCGTTCGTACATTTTACAACGCGTTCGCGCGTCCAATTCATTCGTAACATCGGTATTTCATACGGTGTTTCACGACGTAGCGGCGATAAATCGTCGAAAGCAATCGAGGATCCAGGTGTTCGGCGTGGACAAATTGTGATTCGTCCAGTTACTTTCGCGGGATGGAATGAATATTGGATTTGAATTGTCAATGCAATCACCGGGCACCGTATAACTTGCGCCGTAGCTCACGGGCTCCGATAATACTTGGCGTCGCGGCTAAATCCGCATACCAACCGCGGACCGACCGTGCTTGTAAAATGATCCTAACGTGGATCGTGCGGTCTACGCTAACGAGTAGACCACGGCTCGATCGAAATCACCCCATGGAACGTCTTCGTTTCTCGCGGAAATCCTGGAGAAATGAGAGCTTGGATCAACGAGTCGAACCGCTTCGAAATGTTTGGCTGTCCTTCGACTTTCTTTCTCCGAAGGGAGATCAATTTTTCTACTCTGTCTCGCCGATGGCAGTTGGAAGCATCTCTCAATGACCACTGAACACGCCGAGAATTAATTACCGTTCCCAGAGGGCGTGTTGTTGTATTTGCTTTCCGTGTAATTTGATTAATCAGGAATTCGTTGGTTCGCTGTGGGATAAGGAAGTTCGTTTATCGGTGTGCAGCGGCGAAGCAACCTCGGACAATGTTGCACCATGCACATGCATTAATTGCATTCCTAGGAACCTCGAACTTCCGGGACTCCTACGCGAATTCACCTAAGTAGACGCTAGTCAGCGTTGGATCGGTCATTTTTTCCTGTTCGCTTCGTTACACCGCGAGACATTTCGTTAATCATCCCGGCGAACATGCGTATACTTTACACGTGTATACAGGGTGTCCCAAAAAGATGGGACAATCCGAAACATGGATATTCCTCGTGCATATTCGTGAATATTCGACAAAATTCTAATCTCAAATTTATGATTCCCCGTCGCGTAGTCCTTCACGTTCTACGAATCCAGTGTCTTATCGACGAAGCTGTACAAAGACCGCGCTCACGAACACCGCTTATCTCGACGTAACGATAGAACGTTGACACGGACTTAGTAAAAAAATGCGATAAATTTCTCGAGGAGGAATCTGCTCAGAAAGATCTTGTACACAAAGGTGTCGGGTAACTAAAGTATCGCGAACGATACGCAAACAGTCGGCAAGACGAGAACACGCTCTCGGTTCAGGCAACGTGCCAAAACATTCGTCAAACTAAGCTACGCTCGAATTCCCACTGTGGACATTGATAATCGAGCAACGAGAGGCAGTATTTTTCGATGGAACTGAAGTGTCCACTCGATACCTACTTCGTTATTCGACGATACACCGATAGTAAATATTATTTATTTGCACGACTCTCTAAGATACGAATATAAAAGACGAAATAAGTCAAAAGAAGAAAGATGTGACGTTCATTACGATAATAAAAAAGAAAGAAAGTTTGGATGAAGTGGACGCTGCAGGATATTCCGAGTTTCGAAATAACAGCGACTAATGTCGTCCCGAGGAAAGGAAAGCCATATTTGCATGCGAAACTACACGTTACGGAGCTCGCGAAAAAGACTCAATCGTCGTCTAGTATCTCGAGATCGATCGACCGCCCACGAGATAGATACCGAAGGGAGATGGTATCCGTTGAAAGTCTCGTCGAGAAAGTCCTTTAAGATCCTCCGATCGGAAAGAACGGAAGGAAGACATGGTGGCGCGCGGTCTTTGCGTTTGCCGCTTGGTAAAATCTCGGAATAGTTAGCGAATAACGTCGAAGCGCAGTCACCAAAGCCAATTACCGCCTGTTGTGCCGCATGTCGATCCGATCTGTGGCGAACCGTTCGTCGCGAGTGCACCGGATTACGATCGAGCTTTCGCGACAAAACGGGACGTGTGAGTGCATACACGAGGAGCCGACGTATCGCGGTTCGAGTCACGAAACATCATTCGAATGCCGAAGATTACACGGAAATACGAGGAAATCACGGGGCGAGGGAAGACGTTGCCGATCCACGGTTCAGCGATCCCGAGGCTCGCGAACGCGTGATTTCGTGGGTTGCTTCTTGCGTTTCATTCACGTGCGGTTGCCTCTAGCGAGAATACGGTGAATGTTAATGAGAGCCAGCCGGTCAGCTGCTCGATCCCTACCGTAAGAAAATAATCCAGCTAGACAGAAGATTCCAGGATACGTCTGAGCTCGAGACTAAATCCCGTCTACCCCCCACCTTTCATCCTCCCGTTTTTATTTATCCCTAGTAATTTCCGTTGTTCGAGAATCTCTCTGTCATTTGTATCCCATTGCGTTTGCGTGGAGGGTAACATTTACATAAACGCAATGCCTCGGAAAGGGAAATCTCGTAATGGAGACGCGTTGTAGATCCGCGAGCAGGAGGGGTCGGTCGCGCCGCAAAACGTCGAAAACGACCGTGATCGCCATCGGGGACAGGTTCGAGCCGTGTTCGCAGCATGGGCGTGTGCACCTTCGGAACTCTCCGGGGTTCACCCCAACCAGGGATCGGTCGCTCGACCGAGTTTGCGAAGGCGGCGAAGGGCAGCTCGCGCGGAACGACGCGCCGGCCGCTACACCGGAAGTGCATTATTCACGCCCGATTTTTCGCGAACCGAGCGTGCAAAAAATATGCAAAAATCCGGAACGGATGTGCCCGTCGCAAGAAAGCACCGCGCGGTCCGCCATGGGTGGTTACCGGGAGATAAAGCGGTGCAACAATGGCGTCGAACCAGGTCTCTCTTCGCCGGGTACGTTTCGCGATATTACGAATTACGAAAGAAGAAGGCGTGTTACGGGGTGGTTTCTACAAAATTTCGAGGAGACGTTCGCGTGGATCGTTCGATCGGCAAGAAATCGGTAAACACAGGATCCGATCGGGACACCCCGTTTCGGCGTTATCCAGGATTCGAGGCAGAACGAGATACCTCCAGGGATAGCCCCTGCGTACGCCACTGTGGCATAAAATTTATGACCACGATCTCTCGACCAGGCTATTCGTCAGGGACGATCGCGAATCTCAATCCTGGCGTACCCGTCTTGACAGAGCGCGCCGGGGGAAGACGGAGACAACCCACGAGCTGAGTTCGTATTACAAAGATCCGGTAAGATCTTTGCGCTTTGTCAGCCGGCAAAAACTCACGGAGACCCACGTTACTGTTCGGGGCAATTTGTCCTGACCGTTTCTTTATTATTCCTGCCGGCGGTCGCATCCTTCGGAAGATAATCGACTCGTACCCTTTGGATTCATCGATTCGAGACCGAGCATATACGTGCCTTTGACGAATGAATCCATTCGGAGCTCTATTAAAATTTCATAAAACTCGATGAATTCCAATGAATATCGCGCGACGTCGTATCCGTCTGGATAAGATACAACATCGATCCTTGTTCATTCTGTTATCCTATCGAGAATCGAGTTAGCACCAAAGACTCTAATCGTTCGCACTGTGAATCACCCGTCCGACGTACTCGGATTCGCAATGTCCCTTTCACCGACATTACGCGGGGTAATAAAGACGGAACCGAATGATTGAGCAACGCGATGCGAAGAACATCGCTGAACTTCCCCGCAATTAGCATTAGATTGCACAAGCAATCGGTATCACGGACACATGTACATATGTATGCTCCGTTCCACGAGAGAAAATACTTGTTCTGTGCAGCTTGTCCCCATGACCTTCCTTAAAGTGGCGGGATCTTCTCTGTCGACCCTTGTTCACGACTGCGAACGATACCGAAGGAACGTTGCGATCACCGCGCCTACCCAAAGAATCTCATCTATGGTAACGTTAGGTTCGAGAACGACCGATCGGTACCCTTGGACCCAAGATCGTGGCATTTCGTTCCGCTAGCCTATTGTCGTGGATCTCTCGCCCGCGATCCTAGGCTTCGACCCACTTAACACGATCAATTACGAACGCGCGGTTGCTCTTCGAACCGCGATCCTCGCGAGCAATTACAATGGAAACGGTCATAGAACGATCAACGCCCCTCGCACCAGCAACATACCGATCATTGCTTCGCGTCGCAGTCTCCGTGTCCAGGTGCGCTACGAAACGCGGACTAATCTGTATTCGCGATAGACCCCAGCGTTTCTTCCGTGATTTACGAGCTTTCTAACACGAGTATCGACTATCCCCGATTCCCCCGATCGTGAACGCAACCGGGCCGATTGAAATGCGCAGAGCTTCTCGAGAATTAGCGAATTCGAAACGCGTTGTTTCTGGCATCCAGCAATTAGTGCTACCGTAAATGCAACAGCGTTCTCAGCACCGTTCCCGCTTTCAAATTGTTTCCACATGTATTATGTATTTCGTTCGCGCCCGAGTCTCGTTGCGTCGGTTCCGAAGAACGGTCGCGAGTCTCTAGAAATCGGTGCCGTAAAAATAGCAACCGAGGGTAATTAGTGTCGATTGGAGGAGTTTGTACGTGTGGCCCGGCGATACGGATAACCCCCTTCCGTCGAACGAGCGTGTAACTGGCCACTTTAGAACAGCCGGCCCGGCTAAGGTTAATTGAACTCAATTAAAAGCGAAGCGATGCCGGCCGATCGCGCGCCGTCCATGGTTTTTCAACCGTGCCGCGATTTTCCGCCGCGATAGACGACGGGGATAGCCAGGAATTATCGTCTGATTTGGTCGCGGAATAACGATCCGTTCCGTGGTTTTTTTATTGCAGACGACGAACGTGGGCGGCGGCAGCGTGGTGGAAAAGCTGTCCTTCTACAACCACACGGAATGCGAGTGCAGAGAGAGGACCGAGTACGACACGACCAACGAGAAACCCTCCGAGCAAAGAGTCTACAGGCACTATCAGCCCTCCCCGCAACCTCAGAACATGAGAAGGGCACAACCAAGAAAGCCGTGAGTTCTCTCTTATACCTACATGTATGGATGTATGTACTTATACCGGACCGATCGAACGTACGAATCGAACCGGACCGGTGTCCGTCGGCACCGATTCGAGTTAGAGCCCGAGTAAGCAACATCGTGCGGTTCGTGCCTACGCCTTTCCTCGATCGGCTCTCCCATACCTGTACTCGAATTCACGAGTCTCGGACAGTCAGGGTTGTTTCTACACACGCAGCTATTCAGTAGTAATCGATCACGCGTTATTCATGACTAAGCAGTTGTCTAGGTTACACACAAGATAAATCTGTCTATAAGAGATACCCCTCCATTTCCTTGACTGGTCCAAACTCATGCATTCGAGTATGGAAACACTGATCGTTAGTCTTCGCCACGAGCTACAAGTAATTCGTAATTCGAAATTGACCAGATGCCGTTGTCCCTCGGAATTCACGCCAAGGATCACACCCGAGGGCGAGTGCCAGTGTAACTGCTACGAGAATCATCAGAATTGCATCAAGATCAGACGGGGCAAAGGATACTTTTCCCTCGCCGATAGGTTGTAAGTAAAAGAATATATTTTAAAGAAGCTCAAATATTATAGTTCTCCGAATCCGATAAATGATTATGCAGGAATTATTTCTAGTACAATAACACGTCCGAACTATGATAATATTCTCAAACAGTAATTACGTTAATATTCACAGATGCATCCAGAACGAGGAGTGTGCTGCGCCCAGTTGCGAGTTCGGCGAATACATGCGACGACAAGGGAAGTGTCCCCGAAAGAAGGACAAGTTCGACGCGATCGTAAATTTCCGGACTAACCTGAGCCACCGGTATAGAAGTTAGAAACCGGAAAGGCTCCAAGAAGTGCCAGCAAGAAGAGAAAAAAAGTGGGAGGAGTAACCCGAGTGTGCGCGGAGAACGCGCGAAGAATAATCGACGGTGCCATTTTCTTTACGAGTGCCCTTTTACCGGAGACTCGTTACGTGTATATGTACCCCTCGAGGCAGTTACGTATAGATATATCCTGCTAGTTTCAACGTCGACTCGACGACTATACTCTGTTGTCCTTATTTTTTTTTTATACTATTGTTGTCTACGGTGATCGTTCGATAAGAAACCGGCGACAGACTGCGAATCGCAAATATTGAACTCCCACGGCAAGTCGCCGAGACTTCGTAGATCTGAAAGAGGCGCGACAACGTTTGCTCCGTGCGCGAATGTCCATTGCGAGCGATACAGGTGTCTCTGTTACAACAGTCGGCTGTCAGAGAGAACTTGGACCACGAGCCTAATTCGGAATCCTGTCTCCGTTTCACACGAGTCGACGATTCTTTTCGGTAGTTGCATAGGCTCTCACAATCGCTTCGTGCGAAACTTACACGGTCAATGATATGGATTCAATGATAACGACAATAAGTGTCATTCTTTTCGCGATCTTACGCGATCATTCTTGCTGTTAGTATTTCAGCCCAGTAGACGATGTGCTCCTCTCGTTCGGCGTGAAACATACGCGCACGATATAAAACGCAATCTCAATTCATCGATGCTGTCCATACACAAACAGTATTAATAAATACTGACAGTATTATTGACCGTGTAAAGTCCGCTTTAGATTTCATATGGGGACAAAGCGGCTTCGCGCCAAAGGTGCAATCGCTCGCAACGTCGAGGATCGTATACCAAAGTGAGAGAACCGCGACGAGAAGCGTCCTCGCGGCGTTATTAAATATAGATCCCTCGATGTACCGGTAGATTTTTTGTTTTTACGTTTGCGATCAATAGAGAACTCGTAAGGAAAGCGATCGAAAGTCGCGGTCGTTCATTTGTCTGTGTTTGATTGTGTATAGAGAGAAGAGAAATTGATTGCCATTTAGGACTAAGTTGAGAACCCATGATATGTAAGAAGGAAATTCTAACGTTCACGCCGTTTGTCGCGTTAACTAGTTAATTGTAGACGAGATACTCCAAGTTTCGGGGAAATTGAACGTATCAAAGGGAAAAGAGCGAAAGAAAGAACACGCGAAAATCATTTCTAATTTATCGATAACCTACCGCAAGACCATCACCCTAACTTGTACAGACTACCTAACGACGGACCTTCGAAGAAGCTATTTAAGTATACGAAGAGAATGAATAAAAGAAGAAAGTAAGCCTGTGACTCGTTCGAGTCTCAAGTATTTCGTATCGCGCCCATGTCCCATCCTTCCTCGACCCCACTAAACGTGTTTTGTACGCTTTTATATACATTATTATGATATGTAAGTACATAGTACTTGATCGCGAACCGATAACCGATACAGCATTTATGAGTCAATGAAAACTCGTGTACGCTTCGTGTATAGATCGATTTCAAATATTACAGTTCTCGCGATATTCTCATCCGAGCTTCGCACTGAACATTCGTCGTTTGGAATACGGCAGGAGAGTAACGCGTGCCGTAAACCAAAATGGTGCTCTACCAGAAAACTATCACTCTAAATATTTAATGCTTCAGCCTTGATCAAAAGACGAACGTACACAGTCGAAGTCGTTCGATCTATTACTTGCGTCGGATATTTTAATTCTATGATTAATCGCGAGAAAATACGAACCCTTAAGGACGTTCAGCTTGCTGTTGTACTCGCTACCAACACTAGGCAATATACATATAGATGTAGCCCACAAAACCAAGCAGTAAAATTGTATAAAGAAATTCATGATTATCGTTTCAATAAAATCGCAACTTACATTTAAGAGAACTTCTTACGATGTTTTATTTCTTTCCTAGCCGGCACTCAACATGCTATGAACAACACTGTCGCAATTTCGAACGATACTTCACAGGTTCACGCGACTCGCGACAGATGATTTTGAATCGGCAACTGTTGAACGATTTATGAAATGGTGCAGCCATCTAGTGGTCAAACAGAAACCTGAATCGGCACGATTTACCATAGCAAAGCATGATTTCGAAACAATACCTCCGGAGGGTATCCGAACACAGACGAGGTATAGAATAGCCTTATCTTAAGGGACATTGAGTCACATGTTCTGAAATACCGACCGTGCAAGCAGAGATCTTTTTCTGCCCTCTACCACAGACGAGGTATAGAAGTGCATTTTAGTATTTCCATTTTAGTATCACTACTCACCGCAGATTCACCATTCTCACAAAGTAGAGGTCGCTATAATCATAGTCTTTTTAAGGTGTCGGTACTACAGTTTAGGTGGGCCTCCAGATCCTATAAGATAAAATATCCGCTCCTATACCTTGTCTTTGCCTCTACATTATAAGAACGGTGAATTCGTGAATTACAATAGAAGCCCAATAATTCAGAGTCCGTTAATTAATCCTTTTTCTTATTCGATTTTTTTATCAGTTATGCCTCGTCTGTGGTGGTGCAGCTAGTCGCAGCCAATTAGCTCATATTATTTGCTATATAATCCGTCAACTTGTAGGTGATTATGGTTGCCAGTTATATCCCAAATAATAATGATTGCCCAGGTCTCACCCCGTGGAGGTTGCTGCGAATGGAGACCCAAGGAGGATAGATGGAATCACATGCGTTCAACACCTATCCCCCTTTTACAATTTTTATATCATTCTAACACCATTCACACTAAACAACATAAACTAAATTCAACGCAGAAACTAACGTGGACGTAGCCAGGAGGGGCACTTGTCCCCACCCCCCTGGACGGAAAAAAATTGCATTGCTTCCCCCTGATTGATATGCTCATGGAAACTAATGTTCAAATAACGCAGTTATTTTTTAAACCCGTTCGGCTTTATGACAATCCACGGTGGATGAGAAACCTTCATATACTGATCTTTGTTTTATGTTTTACGTCACTTTGACGCAAAAATCTACCCATCGCGAAACGCCTTCTTGTACATGCCTGTCATGTCTCAAACATCAGTCAAAATACACTACTCAATTTTTATTTCTGTCGTCGAGTAACGTGGTAGTACGTATTTGTGATATAATTTAGTATAGATTGCCAATGTACAATTGTAGATACATTATTAAAAATATCAATGAAGACACATGTTAATCTTAACTTTCTTCACAGTAAACTGATATACATACATATTATGCATATAGGTACTGTATTCAAATAGTAAATAAATTTAAGTTATTTTCTTTTGCGTTATTTGTCTACAAATGACGGTATAACTGTTGAAAATAATAATTAACTCACTAACGGGTGAAATAAAATTTTATTAACATACTAAACATTAATCTAAAAATCATAAAAATTAACTCTAATACCAAAAGTGTCCAAATGCCACCCACGAGCTAGAAGCAATTACAGGTTTCCCCTCGTAGATATCCCCGACTACCGACCTCAGATTGACTCGAACGAGTCAATCCAAGTCCCATAGTGAGGGTACCTCCGGAGGGGAAGAATGCTGCGCATAAGTAGTAGATGGACACCCCTGGGCCTGTCCTTCTTAAAGGACAGTGATATAAATACTCATTCTTTCTGAGTATATACGTCTACCACACAAATATGTTTGTGGAACACAATACATGCTGGTGAAACACAGTAGTACCTTCCCTGCATTTAACGCTCACACTCCATTAAAGTGGTCGTGAGTACTCGCCAGTACGTCTCATTACTCTACCCGTGTACGTAACCGTATGCGTTCTTTGCCAGTGGCAACGAAAACATCGGCCACGATAACTGGAAATCGCAATGCACTTTTCAATGGTCATACATGCACAACGTGTTAAATTATTCCATAACACGCGGTT